GTGGCAAAAGCCTTGAATTAGTAAAGGGTTAGCTGGAAGTCGTTTCCTTCGATATAGTCCTGGCACTGCGGAAGCTTAAACGTGTAAATCCCAGGTCACGTGTAAATGGAAGTATTGTCGAGGACTACACTTGGACTCTTGATAACTAGTTACACCTTTGAATGTTTTTGGTTGATGCCTATAGCACAGACAAACAGACATAACACTCGCAAGTTGTTCATCGAACAAGCATTTAACGGACAATTTAAAAGTATCGTAGTTGGTAGTACCAACAATCAATACGAAACTAACGATTTTAAATTGGCTCACCACTTTAGTAGCCTATTGGTCCCAAGCAAACGATTAACGTACCCTATTCTAGTCGAAATTCTAGTACTACGCAATGTTTGTTTTGATTCGCTATGAAAGTTTGACAGATAAAATGAGGGGTTATTGGTTTTTCCTATGTTTCGAGGGGTGATTCGACAAGCTTGGGACCGAAGATAGTACCAGAGGTGAGCCAAAAAGTTGAGCACGTTTCTTCGGGACCTACTTGTCTTAGAGTTACCTCTATGGTAGTACTGCCACCTGTTGCGCGCATAGTCAATTCCCTTGCGTTTGTCATTTACACACTACCGCCATCTGTTCAGCGTACTACCAACAATCAATACGAAACTAACGATTTTAAATTGGCTCACCACTTTAGTAGCCTATTGGTCCCAAGCAAACGATTAACGTACCCTATTCTAGTTGAAATTCTATTACTACACTATGTTTGTTTTGATTCGCTATGAAAGTTTGACAGATAACATCAGGGGTGTGTGGATTCATGCAGAACATGCAGGGGTGAGTGAATTAGCTTGGGACTGCTTGGGACCGTTGTTCTGGTACTGAGTGAGCCAAAAATAATAATGATTTTCTTCGGGACCCAGTGGTCTTAGAGTTACCTCTATGGTACTACCCCCCACAGTGTACTCAACAGATAGCGGTAATGTTTTAGCGACGATGTTTTACATTGAGAAATATTCAATGTTTTATGTCTGTTTGTCTGTGTCTATAGCATATTTAACAAGACATTTATATCTGTAATTGTAACCAGCTCGATTTTGTTTGCAAACCTGGTTAAAATGTTTATATTTAATTATCTTAAAGCTAACTCGTCCAGCTCAAACCGACTATCATCACCATCATCATCATGTGACATCCGATTTTTTTCCGAAAGCTTCTTTGAATTGTCACCATAAATTTTTCAATATTTGTCTTGGAAGTTCCCCGGAAGTTTTTCCGACTTCTCTTAAAACTTTCTTCAAACCTACTCCAGAAGAACTACTTTATTCTTTTTCTGGAAGAAGTATTGACTTCATTCAGAAGCCAGTTCAAACATTGCCCGGAATTTTTTTTTCCAACTTCTCCTGGAAAGCAAATCTACCGTTCTTAGCCCAAAAGTGTGAATTTTCAAAAAAGGCAATAATATAAAATTAATTAAGATAATAAATACCGATTTCTTTAAACTGTTGATACCGATAATCTGGAAACGCTGGTTTCGGGTCGCGTTCGGATGTTTTTTTTTTTTTTTATATCTTTATTAAGGAGACTTTCAGCCGTTGGCTGGCTCGTCTCCGAATACCCCAGAGGGGGGTATTCCTAGGGGAAAAGGGGGTTTACAGAGTTTTTAGAATGTACAGAGTTTTGGTTTTTGAAACTTATGTTTCCTGTCTCAGCTAGCTGTCAAATTTTCATTTCAAAGGCTGTCTAACCCCTGTAGATCCCCACCGGCAGAGGCTGCCAGGTGAACCTGGCAGCTGCTACCGGCAGGGGTTGCCGGGCCTGCTATCAAAATAGTATTTTTCGTGTTATAGTGACTAAATTCAGGACCCCGGTAGAGCCCCACCGGCAGAAACTGCCAGGTGACCCTGGCAGCCGCTGCCGGCAGGGTTGCCGGGCCTGCTATCAATATCGTATTTTAAATATTTTTGTAGATTCCTGCTTCCTTCGTAAAGCAGATGAGTTGGATTTCCGCTACCGGGTCGTTTTGGAGGACGTCCCGAATGTTGTCGGCCAGACCGTACAACTCCCGTGATCCGTGGAAACACGGGCAGTTGATAAGGATGTGCTCAACCGTCATCGTTGTTCGGCACGCGTCGCATCTCCTCCGGAAGCCTCCACCACTGCTGCTTCCCATGTTGTGAGTAATCCGGGTGTGACCGGTTCGAAGTCTGGAGAGTATTCTCTATTCCGCGTAACTTTTGGTGTCCGTCCATGGGGCCGTTTCCTAGGGGAAGGACAGCTCCAAGTATCAGCATCAATACCAATGGTGGAAATATTAAATATTTTAATATGTGTGATATTTGCGAATCTTATGCTTAGTCTGACAGTTGTTTTGTTTTTGTTGTTGATTATTGTTTGTTTTATTGTTACATCTGAAATTCGTTTAATCAACAATTGATTTCGCACGAGAGGCAAGTCATGGTGATCTTGCTGGCCACCGCCACCGGAATCCGCTCTTTGTTTCTATAAGTTCGGTACATGGCTGCACTTCCGTTCCCAGGAAATAGTAATTAATTTCCATGAATTCTTCATCGTCTGCGAACCAACGTGCTATCCTCCAATGGAACGGGAACCGACTTACTACGCCGCTTCTGTAAACGGAGTCTCAGAGTTATGGTTCCGTGGTCGTACTACGCTCGATTCGCCATGAGCCTGCAACTTGGATAGATTTGCTGCTGGGGAAACGTCCAGTGCCGTTTTTATTATCAAAAGCCGGAAACGAAAATCTAGCTGCAGTAAACATAAACAGCAAAGATAAAACGTCTTTGAGTGTATGCGTTAAAGTTACACTGTTAAAAAAAATTACTTTGTTGATTTCCACTTGACAGTTAATATCATTAATATTTATACTAAAAACTATAATAACTATACCAATATAAGTAATTTCTACACCAAATATTACTTCAGATCAAGTTGTACTTCCCTTAGGCCGTTTCCCCTTTGACCTTTCTAATGAAAAGCTCTTGGTTGCTGTTCCATTCGTTGCCCCATGCTGACCTGATGGTAGATTTTATCCAGACTTTCAGGTCTTGTCTGGTGACCGAGTTGTGGGCAAGACGGCCGCTTCGTCCGGTGGCCGCGAGGTGGTCGGCTTCAATGTTACCGGCGATTCCGCAGTGGCCCGGTATCCACATGAAGGTGGTGCCGGGTTGTGTGTGCTTCTGGATGGCCTGAATCCACGGGTGGCGTGCAGTGGAAGATTCCAATGCAGCCAGAGCGCTGGCGGAGTCCGTGAGTATGCATAGAGGGGAGGAGGATGGTAGGGAGGCCGCGTAATGTAGGGCTGCTGCTTCTGCTGAGAAGACCGAGCATTGGTCCGGGAGTTTCCAGAAATGGGATGTTCGGCCATCAGTTACTCCAAAACCTACTCGGCCCCTAGCCTTCGATCCGTCGGTGTATCGGAGTTGGTGGTTATGGTACATCGTTCTCAGTCGCTCGGTGAGGCAGGTTCTCATTTCCGCCGAGTTGTCCCCTGCTCTGAATCGGTTGGCCATGGTTCTATCTGATCGGATGGGGAAGGCATCCCACTCCCTGGCTCCGACCCAGTGGAGTTTAGACACCGGGGGGAGCTCCTGGTGGGCGGTCTCTTGGAGAATTCGTTTCCCCTCCGAGAGGAGATAGAAATCTCCGTCTCCGCTGAGTTGCTCGTCGAGTCCCACGGCTCTCGTACAAACCGACTCCGCAATGAAAAACCGGAACGGTAGTGTTCCGGTCTCAATGCATGCGGCGTCGGCTGGTGTTGATGGCAGTAGACCGGCTGCAATCCGAGTAGCCTGGTTGTATATCGGTGCAAGACGGGAGATGATGGAGTCGCTGGACGCGCATAGAAGTTCGATTCCATATGTCAGTCGGCTGTGGACGATGGATCTGGCGGTGTTCATCACAATACCTCGGTTGTTCACCTTGTGTGGACCGGATAGGGAGCGAAGGATGTTTAGTCTTGTTCGACAGTTGGCCTTGACCTCGTTGAGGTGGGGGCCGAACCGGAAGTTTCGGTCAATCGTGACTCCTAGTATGGAGATGGATTTCCTCCTGGGGATTGCCTGCTTGTCGATCCTAATCGGAGTCGGTAGTGGCCGGTGACCATGCCGGCAGACATGGGAAACCGAGCTTTTCTCGGCTGATATCGCAAAGCCTGTCTTGGCGGCCCATCTACCAACCGCAGAGACCGCCGCCTGCAATTTTACCTTCATTGCTTTTAGAGTTTTCCCGACTACTAGGAGCAAGATGTCGTCCGCATACACCAGGATGTATATTTCCTTTGGCAGTCCCACAAAGATTCCGTTCATTGCCACCAAGAAGATGGTGACAGCAATTACGGAACCCTGTGGAACTCCAGTCTCCTCTCGCCTGTTGGTCACCTGGAATGCCCTGTCCTGTAGGTAATTCCTCAGGAAGTAGAGAATATTTCCTCCAAGACCCCATTTGGACAGTTGGTGTAGGACTTGTGGTGTCCATGCCCTGTTGTAAGCCTTAGCCAGATCCAGGGAGGCCAACTCTACGTGTTGGTCCTTACGGAGTGCCTCCTGGACGATCTGGCCGAGGCTATTAAAATAGGTGCCGGTTCCGTGGCCAGGTCGAAAAGCGTGTTGCCGGTGGTCCAACACGTTCGGATGTAAAGCAAAAATCATGATACTCAAACTCACCACGGTTTGATTAGGATTGTAGCTGGTGAGTTTTGTTGACTTGATATTCATATCTATGATATCACAGCTTGTACTATCATACGCAGTGTTCTTGCTTGCTGCGAAAGTCAAGCGTGATCTTGAGCATTGGTGAGATTTGATTTTTTTTTTATATTTTCCCAACACTGCACTTCACTGTCACCTCACCTCACACGCCGCGCAGAATAGGCCTGAAAGTATCAAGCCAAAAGATAGTGGAATTTAAAGATCTACGACCCACGTAAGAACTTCAAATTGCCATCCACTAAACAATACTATCTGAATACAAGAAAAAAAAAAACGCTCTCAATAATTTATGGTAAACTTTATTATTCTTAGTTTTAACATGACGTGACTAAAGTTGTGTTCGCAAATACATGTTTCGAGAGGGAAAGGGGAATATGTTGCAGCGGCTTCATGCAGGTACCTACAAAACGCCAAACCATTTCGGTTGTAAATTTTTATGCTCTTCTTTTTCCACAAAATAGGACAATCAGCCTCTCGAGCTGAAATTTAAATTAAAACAACTTTACTTCAGTGAAAAACATTAGATTTTTCTAAACGCTAAAAGTTTTCATTAATGCTATGCTACAGTTGAAAAGAATATAGAAAATTAAAAAAAAAAGAATACCAGTCTAATAGAAAATGTCGTTGCCGCCAGAGTAAATTTTGAGTGGCACTTTGAAAATTAAAAAAGCAAATGACTTTCCTGCTCTAATAATCCACATTGTACCATCACTGACTATTGCAATAATATTTTGTATTTCGGGTTTCTCTCTCGCATTTATCCGCGTAGGGGAAACGTGTGCTTTTTGTTCATCTGTGGTTGACTCTTATATAAGGACTATTTTCAGCTAAATAGTTTGTCTGCCAATGTTAGATCTCTTCTCCTGACTTCATCAAACGTTCTTATGAAGTGCCCTGGGTAGCGAACGAATATCTTTGGGATGAGCAGAGCTGTCTTACTTCCGACTAAGCCACATGAATGTTTTCAACAGCAGATAAGCCAAACCAACGCAATAGACGATCTTTTCCCGCTGCTGCCGTTGCATGTTGTCCAGTTCGATGGACAGCAACCGTCGGTTCATTTTGGCCACCTGACGGCGCAGATGGGTCATCTCTTCGGACGGTGTTAGATTTTCAACACTTCCGCCGAAGGTTGGTGTCTCGTCCCGGAAGCTATAATTTAAAACAGAAAACCATCGACTAAATTTTCAACTGATTCCCGACTTATTCTCTTACCTCCTGCCGACAATCAGCTCGGAATTGTGTTTGGAAAATGTTGCCCTCTTCTGTAGTTCTCCTCCTGTAATTCCTTCTCGGCCGCCAGCATGACCAAGGCGCTGTCTATTTCCCACGTTCATGCTACTGTTAGCGTCCTCAATCGAATCCAGCGAGCGTGGCTCGTAGTCGTCATAGTTTTGATCATGCAGTTCTTTGTTGTCATACTCCGGGAGGTCCGAAGCCGATGGGAAGTGATGTTCCGCCAGGGAAATTACCCTCGGCGGTGTTGAAACGCGCACAAAACCCGGATCTTTCGGTAGAATGGAATTCTCCAGCATAATCTCACGCGGAGCCGATTTGGTGCCTGATGTAAGAACTGGCTCGATTAGACACGAAATCACAAACACATTTTGATCGATGATTGTTAAAGGGTAGACAAAGGGGGAGTTTTGTTAGCAACCAACCAAGCGAGACAAGGACAAAATTTATTAATAATGTTAGCAAAAGTAGCAATGATATAATGCAGCAGCACCAGAACGGACACAAGGGCTCACTCACCTAAATGTTGATCCTGACCAAGCACAACAATCCTGTCAGGAACGTTCATTTCTATTTTGTCGCGATAGTTCCAGGAATTGATCTCACCGTTGCCATTGGAAAGTAGCTCGTGTTCTTCGAAATAGCCTCCCGTGGCACGAATCCGCTTCGGTACTCGCATCTGTTCGCTTATGTCGTGCGTATAAGCTGCATTCTGGAACAACGAATCATCCTCGTAGTTAGAAAATCCTCCCGGACTTGCAGAGCGAGCCATTTTCGATTTTTCCACTTTTGCCGTTTGATGCACTTAAATAACACTTTCCGGATAAGCTATTAATAAGTACTTCACCCGACGAACAGTTTCAGGCAAACAGATAGTGAAAGGGCAACTTTTTGCTATCTGATAGGCGCAGTGGATTAAATAATTTTTGCCTATCTTTTTTTTCGTTTCGCGGATTCCACACAGAGAGTGGAGTTTTTTGGCTTTTTCCCCTGGGTGGAATCTTTTCACTCGAAGTGACGGCGGCTTCGAAAATGACAGTTCATCCGTGATTCAAATCTTATCGTTTTCTAACCAAATCGGGAGTTAATTCGAAACAATCAAGGTTGCCAGAACCTGATATCAAAACCGAAAATAAAGGACCTATTCATAAATTAAAACGCTAAAATAACAGCGGAGCCGATGGTGTAGTGGTAAGCGTGATTACCTCTCAACCCAGCAGGTCTGGGTTCAATCCCAGTCAGCGCCGCCGGGATGTTCTGAGACATAACATCTCTGATCACGCCTTCCTTCGGAAGGGAAGTAAAGCCGTTGGTCCCCGGTTCATGAGTTGATGAGTCGATAGGTGGTCCAGGTGTGGGAGCTGCCTCCCTGGCGTCGGTGGCATTGGTGCTAAGCACGGAAAACAAATCAAAGAAAAAAAAACGCTAAGAGCAACCGTACCAATGAGTAAATAAGGCACATTTACCAACCTCTACCATAACGCTACTTGCGTACCGGAGGTTGCTATTCAGGTGGGGGAAATAGCAATCCGCACCTTGGGAAGTAGTGAGTTCATAAATTTAGCAACCCGGTAGCAACGCATCAGACGGTTGCTATTTTGAATAAACGTCAAAAGTTTGTTTTGCCGGTGTGGAAAACGGTAACTTAAATTATGACTCTGATAGCAACGACCGGTGTGGAGAGGAGTGATCAAGCCAAAATGGAAACGCTGTGCGTAAGTAAAATAGTGCCGCAAATGGCAACGACTGGTACGGTTGCTCTAAGAAAGGAGAACTGCTAAATGGCGACCCGAATAGAAATTTACATTAGCCCAACGTTTGATTCTGATGTCTACATCAGCATCGAAATCAAATGTATGCCTGATGTCAAACATTAGAAAACATTATGATTTAGTTGTATTTAAGCAACGTAACATCCCTAATAGAAAATTACCATAACCAAACGATAACGCAAATCATGGAACTATTCCACAAATTGTTTGGTGTACACATCAGAAATTTTGCCATTCTAATGTCGGTCTGACATCAAAAAATTTCAATCTATTGACATTAGAACCAAACGTTTTAAGGATGTTTTCGGATGTAGAAAACGTTAGAACTAAACGTTGTTCGGATGTTTTTATATGTAAACGTTTTCTGATGTTTTCTAATGTAGATGTAGATGTACATAACGTTAGAACTAAACGTTGTTTGGATGTTTTTGTGGGAGAGTCGGATTGACCGCACAGGGGAATCAGCGTTGGTTTCGGATTACCGAAAAAGGAATCGACCACGAGGATTTAATAAAACTATCAAAAGGGAACTTTTAATGCGTCTTTCTTGTCGGATGTACAAAGTTCAACTGAAACACTTCTCTATTCGCGCCGTCTCAGCGTCGGCGAGGTTTGGTCGTCCCAATGGAAAAAAAGATGTGTGGGGCACGACCAACCGGTAGATGACGAGGGGCAGCACACATTGCTAATTCTCTTCACTCCTCCTCAATGGTTGACCCTCGTCTCGCCACTGTCCAATCCAAGCTGCTTGGCAAAGCCGTGATGCTTGACTCCACCCAACGGCTTCGTGAGAACGTCCGCCTTCATGTCCTCCGTAGGGCAGTACTTCAGCACCACCTCATCGCGTTCACAAAGGTCCTTCACGAAGTGTCGTTTAGTCTCGATATGCTTGGACCTCTTGCTAGATCGTTCGGACCGAGCAAAACTGAGGCATCCTTGATTGTCGCCGTTCACCACAGTTGCGGCGGCCTGCTTCTCTCCAAGATCATCAAGTAGTCGACGCAGCCAGATCACCTCTTGGCACGTCTCCGTTAAGGCGACGTATTCCGCTTCCAGTGTCGACAGCGTTACACATTCTTGCCGCCGACTGGCCCACGAAATCGCTCCTCCTGCATAGAACACGACGAAGCCCGTAGTAGACTTCCGTGTTCCGACATCTCCTGCCCAATCACTGTCCGAGTATGCAACAAGTCCACTATTTTCGCCCCCGAGAGTCAGCTTCCAATCGCGCGTTCCTTTGAGGTAGCGGATAACGCGTTTGGCCGCCGTCCAGTCTCTCTCGGAAGGAGCACTAAACTTGCGCCCCAGGATTGCAGCACTGTTCATAATGTCGGGGCGAGCGCAAACGGCAATATACATCAATGCACCCACTGCGCTTCTGTACGTCGTAATGTCTTCCAGCGGTTCGCTGTTCACTTCATCACTCAAAAATCCTTTGTCCATCGGCGTTTTCGACACTTTTACTTCACTGAGTCCCGTCTTCGCTACCAACTGGTCTATGTAGTTCATCAAGCTTACGCTGTACACATTGTTCTTCTTCTGCACTTCGAGACCCAGGAAGCACTTCACGTTGCCGAGACACTGAATGTCAAAACTCTTCTGCAACTGTTCGTATACGCGAGTAATCACTGCTTCGCTTTCACACCCCACGAGAAAATCGTCCACGTAAACTACCAAATACACTTTCTTCCCGTTCACGGTGCTCACAAACAAACACTGATCAACTTCACTCGCTGCAAACCCCATCTTCTTCAAGACTTCCGTCAGCTTCTCGTACCAGCAGCGGGCTGACTGCTTCAGTCCATAAATGCTTTTGAGCAGCCGGCAAACAAGCTCCTCCTCGCCTTTAGCCGCGTAGCCCGGGGGCTGCCTCATGTAGATTTCCTCACTGATCTTGCCATACAGATAGGCGGTTCGGACATCTAGATGCTTCAGTACGAGGTTCTTCTTCCCAGCCAACGTCAGGAGAGCTCGAAGAGTGGCGTGTCGCGTCACAGGGGCGTACACCTCATCGAAATCGACGCCAGGTGTTTGCGTAAACCCCTGCGCCACGATTCGTGCTTTGTAGCGCACGACCTCGTTGGTCTCATTCCGCTTAAGTTTGTATACCCATCGACTGCCGACGAGCTTCTTCCCTGATGGAAGTGGCACCAGCTGCCAGGTACCATTCTTCTTCTGCGACGCCATCTCACTGTCCATTGCAGCCATCCAAGCATCCCGATCCGGACCAGATACTGCCTCCTTGAACGTAGCCGGCTCCTGCTCTGAGTGCGCTGCTACCCCAACCACGTAGTCCGACAGACGGCCGGGTAGCCGCGTTCGCCGATGAGATTGACGACCAGTGCCTTCTGGAGTCGATGTCGCAGGTGCTTCCAGTTCTTCCTCCTCCTGCTTCACGGCCAGGGGGTCGCGCTTATCATCCGGATCCTCCATTTCGAAGTAATGCGAGTCTTCACCGTCTTCATCTTGATCCTCTTCATCAGCCTCTTCCACGGCTTCTTCCTGATCCGAAGGAACATCTTCTTCTTCAGCTTGCTGTTCCGTGCTGTCCTCGATTGGCCAAAACTCTTCGGCGCATTCAGGCTCCTGGCTCGGACCCTGCTGCAAGCTCTCCTTGGAAGATCCATCATACATCTCCAGGAACCGCGCGTCCCGGCTGATGGTGATCTTGTCGGTGCTAGGATCAACAAAACGGTACCCTTTGTGTTCTTCGGAATACCCAATGAAACGAAGCTTACGTGCCTTTGCATCAAATTTGCCTCGTTTGACGTCTGGCACGTGTACGTAGGCATGGCACCCATAGACGCGGAGGAATCCCAGCTCTGGGTTGCGTCCGTGCCATTTCTCGAAAGGAGTCGTATCTACAGAACGTGAAGGAAGCCTATTCTGCAGGAACGCCGCTGCCACCACTGCCTCCCCCCAATAGCGCATGGGAAGATCAGCGTCAAGGAGCATCGTACGCGCCATCTCCTGCAGCGACCTATTCTTCCTCTCCGCTACTTCGTTTTGTTGCGGAGTGTATGGAGTCGTATATTGTGCCTTTATTCCCTCTTCCGCAAAGAATTTACGCAGTTCCTGGTTGCAGTACTCCCCGCCGCCGTCCGATCGGACAACCTTTGGTTTGCGGCCGAACAAAGTTTGGACAAAACGAACATATTCTTTGATCTTACCTGGAGCTTCCGACTTTTTGGCGAGTAAGTAGACGACCGTATAACGACTAAAGTCGTCAATCATCGTCATGATGAACCTCTTACCGCCCGGCGTTGTTGTCTTCATTGGCCCACACAGGTCGGTGTGAACCAACTCCAACGGCTGCGTAGACCTGCGTTCTGCCTCCTTCGGGATCGGGTCCCGAGCCAGTTTGCCTTCGATGCATGGCTCGCAGGTGAGCCGAATGCCGCACTTCACGACCTTCATGCCTTCACCTAACTTCTCGTTGCTGATTCGGCTAATCGCTGTCGGATGCCGGTGGCCAAACCGCCCGGCAGCGACGACGTCACCGGCTTTATCACGGATGTCACAACCACTAGCCCCAAACACGGCCGTAAAACCTTTGGCGGTTAGTTTATCAACGGACACCAAGCCGCTTGTCAGCGACGGCACAAGCAAAACGTCAGAAAGATTCACGTTGATGACGTCACCGCTACCGTTCACTCCGCGCAGTGTGCCATAACCACAACCCGCCGTTTTAACTACTTTTCCGTCTGCCAAAATAACACTTGGTCCGTTCTTCTTCTCCAATTCCGTGAAAAACCGCTCGTCATTCGTCATATGACAGCTTGCGCCACTATCGATGTACCACGAGGTGCATTTTTCGTTGGCAACCATAAAGCACACATCGTTAGATTTCTTCGCACTTTTATCGGCTTTCTTCGCACTCGGTTTCACTTCGGGCTTCTTCTTTTCTGCATCGCCCTGCTTCTCGTTCTTCCACGCTCGGCAGTCACGCCGAATATGACCCGCCTTTCCACAATGGAAGCACGTTTTCCCCGCACTATTCTTCTCGCGACTCTTCTTTGTCGCACTCTTCATGGCGGTAGCCTCACCGCTCGCCGATCCACAAGCTCTTCCAGAACGCTCACATCGGCGTTCATATTCGTCAAGCACTTTCACTTTCACTGCTTCCAGCGTCGTACCGGCGTCGATCTGGCTCTGCAACAAAGTTGCCAGCCCTTGATACGATTCGGGCAAGCTTCGGAAGAGCAACAC